GCATAAGAAGTAGATGATATAGATAGGGACCCCTCGCTCAAACGTAACAAGAACAGATAAAACGCAGAGAAAGAAAACATTCATGTCCAGATGTACCCAAAAAACGACAGTATCCTGGCGTCGTCGTTCAATACCCCCAGAGCTCGTAATCCGCCACAAACACTGATGTATCGACAAGCACGGAGAGAAAGAGTGGGATAAGTAAAGCCAGAACCGGATATACCGCCATATCGTTTGGTCGTGGTTTATCGTGATAGTAATAAAAGGTGATGAGGTGAGGACGACATGTCATGGCATGGCTTATGAGTAGAATGCACTCTTCTGAAAGCTCTCCGGCGAGATGTCACCCATTTTCCCCTTCAAGACTGGTTTCTTCTCATCGCCAACCTGAGCCTTTTCAATGACGGATGTCATAGTATTGCTACGGCTGCCCGCTTCGCTGCCGGAGGTGATGGCCTGCTGCGCGGGTCTTCGTTGAATGGTTTCGAGGTAGGGCCCTGGGAGGTAGCCAACACGGCCGTCCCGAGCACGGCAGCGCCACCATTCAGATGCGTTGCCCATGGGGTCTGTTTTGCTGAGAACAGCCACAATATCACCCTTCTTAACGGCCAGATCGATACCGGCGCTTTCCTGAGACTCGGGTGTGTAATCATACAAAACTCGGCAGAAATCAAGCTTCGATGGATCTAATGGCGCTTGCATGGGCTCCCCATTTGGTCCCAGCATCATCTGCTTACGCTGCTCTTCCTGCGAGCGCGCGAGGGCTTTGATGAGCTTGCCCATCAAGTAGGGAAGACCGAAAACGGCGATAAGGAACATGAAGAAGGGCTTCTTCGAAGGCTTGGGGGGAGCAGGGGAGCCGTCTGGGAGCGTTGCAGGCGCTGAGCGCCCGTGCATAAAGGCCGCAAACGCAGAGGGGGTGAGAGAGGCAGCATCAGCCGGCGGGGGGCGCCCCGTAATCTTCGCAATCAACGTCCTGAACCATCTGATTATTGTGAAAATTCCCAGGGCGGACCCAAGAGTATTTCGCAAATTGCCGAACTGCTCTGCAACAGAGACCATGGCTTTGAAGAAGTCAGCAATATCCAAAAAAGAAGGCACTGATGACAGGAACATACCAAAAAAGGAGCTATGAGTCGCCATATATGTGCTTTCCAGCATCTGAGCAAATCCACCAAATGCACCCACAATACTCTCAATCATCTGAAAGGTAGCCTGCGTGCTCTGGCTGAACGAATTCGTCAAGCTGTTGGGATCATTGGGGTCGCCAGGCATGCCACCACCGTACATGCCCCCCATGCCCCCCATGCCACCGTACATACCCCCGTAGCCACCATAGCCTCCATACATGGAGCCCATCGTACCGAAGCGAGAGTATGGCGATGAATATGCGCCGTAGCCGCCATAGCCGGTTCCATACGGCGTGGTACCGAACCGTGATGCGCCATAGGGGGAGTAGTTCGACGCTGTCCGGTTTACAACGGAGTTCAATGTGTCAGGGCGAGAAGGTAAGGAGGGAACGGTAGAGGATGATATTGTTGAGGTGGATGTGGGTATGGACGAGGTAGCGGTCGGCGCTGTCGCAGCGGCGGCTGTTGGAGTCATCGTCGAACTACCGGCGGGGGACGCTGATAACACAGTGCCTGATGAAGCGAAGCAACAACGTTAGCGATCAAGCTCTCGATGATAGAGACAGCACAGAATAAGTATTCAACAGCAGCGGGTCACCTACCACCGCCAGCAGTGCCTGCTCTCTCCCACGGTTTAGGTGGCGAAACCGACGCCATGGAGTTGCGGAGGGGATAATTCTCACCAGCCTCGCATTTGAGCCCAGCCAATAATCAGGTAACGAGTTGGACCTCGATGGCAAGTCGCTAAATTGATATGAGGATGATGGTGGAAACGTGGATGCGCAGAAGAGAGGGGACGCAAGAGATGGTCAAGAGGAGATGGGGGTGGAGCCGTTTGGTTTGGAGGACAAAATTACATAGCGCATGTGGCCGCAGATGCCGAGGCTGTCTGCTTTTGCCGACAGACACTCTTCTGAGCCGGAGAACGCCGTGGCTATTTTCATCATGATCCATGAGGTTGGTCATAGATCGACAGGTATATTTTGTATCATCGGTTGCACAATAAATATTACCATATTTCATCACGTTCTCCCAGTGACTTGACTTTGATATATGACAATGTTCTTGAGCCTCAAGTACAGCTATTCTCCATACGGAATACACTCCTACATTATCACCACCAAACCACAGCTGACGGTTTCAATGCAATTGAGACTTTTCTCGTCAATTTGATAGATATACCCATATTATACATGCGCTTCCGAACTCCCAAGATGCAACGCCGACTCTAGACGCCGCGAAACAAAATCAAACCCCCGTTGTCTATACAGTTCGGCAGGCGCCGATGGTCATGAAATATATGGTCTAGTAACGCTGGAATCGATTATAACTCGTCACGACTGCTCATCTGGGGTCGTTGAGGAAGCCGAATTCTCCATGACCGCGGCGGCACAGGGAGACCCAGCCAGTAACTCCAGGCCCGGTTGGCTTCCAGGACGAAGATTTCCCATCTGCAAGACAGAAATCAGCGGTCAGTCACTGTGCAGACGGACAAGGGATTAGGAGGAGCTTACAAAGTTTTCGGCATATTCCACCAACTCTTCAGGACGTAGACGAATGTGTTCCACACCACCTCGAATTCGGCCGTAAAACTGTCCCACGCAGTATCCGATTCCTTATGCGGCCTTCTCTCCCATGGCAATCTCTCCGTGGCGTACTTGAAGTCGTCTTCGTCGTCTTCGTAGTAGAACGTTGACCCTCCATCCTTGTAGAGGACCTTCGCTTTCCGACCGCCAGGGTGTTCCTTCAACATGGGCGTTCCCGCCATGATAGCGAAAGTCTGGCCCTGTCCAAGATCCATGGCGCGATGGAAGCTTCGTACAGCAGCCAAACTATGGGAAATGCGGCCCAGAGTGTTGATCAACGCAACCAGCTCAGTTCGCCGTAGTGGTGGATTTTCGCCATTCTTGGTCTCGTCGTAGTCGAACAGCACCTTCAGAGCCGTTCCATATCCATTGACCTGGAGCTTGCCCCACAGTCGGCACTTATCACAGCCAACACAGTCCATCAATCTGCTCACGTTTCTGAAGCGGTTGCGGAACTCTTCCTTCAAGCCGGGTGCGCTCGGGTCCTGGAACATGATATTTTCATCAAAGATTTGCGGCCGATCAGCGAGGATCGCAGTCAGCTGGGACACCTTCTCCTTGGTTTCGCTGTCCTGAAGCGGATCGCTTGTGCAAAAGGTGTAATTCTGAAGGTGCTTCCGCAGCTTCGCCACGGCCCGTGAGACGAGCGCATAGTTGAAGTACAAGTTAGAAATGCGCTCTGGGTGATCATGCAGACGCTCTTTGAAGCATTGCAAATTGGGGTGCCATTGTCCTGTGGTCTTGTTGAGATAATCCCAGCAGAGATGGGTCGAGATCGATGCATGCATGCCGCTAATGAGGCGATGAAAGACCCGCTTCTCAAGGCACTCATTGTCAAACGGCAGTCCTTCGGACCGTTTCATCTCCTTTTGCATTACGTTTCGGAAGTCGTTGACGGCCTGCAAGCCTCCGAGAGATGGATGCGGGGACAGTTCCATCTCCGGAGGCGACTTCAGAAAACAATTCTCCCGGTAAATGGCGTCCCAGACCATATGGGCTCCCGGTCCTGCGTAGCCCGTGAATCGTTCCGGATTGTCTACCAAACTGACGTAGTCGCCTTTACCACTGGTCCCTTCGTCTTCCGGCACACAGTAATCGCGCTCATCGCACTCGTCGTCGTATTCGACCACACAGCTTTCCCCGACATTTGCACCGAGTTCGCCTTGAAGCGGTTTGTCACTGGGCCGTTCTTTTTGAAGTTTGCGGCCGGGATGGCCTGCTTTGGGACCTTCCAGTTTGCTAAGCTCCTCCGCGCGCCACGTCAACGGGATATCCTCCTCCGACTCTATTGTATTGACGGAACAGGCGATATTGCCGCACATGCTGTTGGCATCGTCCCAGAACGGGCATTGTTTGTTGAATAAGTTTAGGCGGTAGTATGAAAAGAAATCCGTCTCCTGCGTGATCGATTGTAGAAGGCTGTAGATCTGATCGTTGAGAGAATCAACGGTGACGTAGGAAACACAGGCATCGGAGACGGTGGCGGAGGGGTCAATCTGGACAACGACATAGTCAGAAACAGTCACAGAAGTATTCTTGGTAGTAGAGGCCACCTACAGCGCAAACAGAGTGGTCATATCGCTGATTGTCTCCATCATCGTCAGCATTGGTAAACCTCAAAAAGGCGAACACTGCCAGGTAGAAGACCCTGGCTGCGGAGCGCATTTTGCAATCAAGTTTTCACAAATGCATGTACTAGTATGTGTTTGAGATCAAGAGGAGTGATGAAGTTGATTAGTCGCCTTGTTGTCCTTCACATGAAAACAGACAAGTGGGCCTGTCAAGGATTATCAATCAAAGCAAAGACAAAGCCAAGGAAACTGGAAGACCATGCAATAGCGAAGGTACAAGAGGATATCGGCACTATGCAAAGTGTATGGAAGAGGAGTAAAAGCGAGAAATGCAAATCTATACTGTAGGATTGATTGATTACAGCGTGGTATGTTGAAGTCCTCTATAAGACTATTCAGAAGGACAAGGTGGCCTTCGTCCCAGTAGTAATCGGATGATGATCGCCAAGACGGCTATGGAATGCACGCCGCATTTGCCCAGTGCATTCCAAGACTTGGTGGTTTCATTGGACACTGCCGATTTTTCCATTGGTCGAGCCCGTTCTTAATTACCTATTAAAGGCGTCCAGATCATGCCATTCTGGAACCTCGCTATTCATCAAATGTCAACAAGAACAAAGAGGACAGCTGTGCAATTTCATCTATCTGGCTTATCCTATGGACAGACACTACTACATGCATGCACTCAGAGGAAACGACAATGAACACATCATCTACTGCAACCTCTCGTCCCCCTCGAGGTCGTGCCCTTCTACCATCTCTCTAATCCTCTCATCCCGACTCTCAACCAGATCCTCTCCTGCCTGATCCAACGTCTGATCCAACAGCTTCTCAAAGCCAAGCGTCTTAGCAGCAAACTCAAAGATCATTTTCTCCACTTCAGTCGAATGTTTCGTGAGTCCATGATCGTCCCCGGCAAGCAGTCTAATTTCTCGAGGGCCTGTATTTCCATACTCCCTATACAGCGTCTCCGAGCACGTCGGCGAGAGCACCTTATCATCAGTCCCGTGCAGCAAGAGCACCGGCCGCGGACTCAATTTCTTGATCCCCACCGTATTGGCGGTCTGGCTAGCAACGGTAGCCACGCCGCGGACGCGGTCGTCCTGGGCTGCGACGGTGAAGCAGGGACTCCCGCCAAAGGACCAGCCGACGAGGACGAAGGCCGATGAATTGAAGTGCTCGCGCAGGTAGGTGAAAGAGGCTACGATGTCGGCGGAACAGTACTCTGTCCTCGCAGGTCTCCTATAATCAAGTCTGATAGACGGGATACCGAGTAGGAGGGCTAGTTTGTCTGCGAGCGATGGGTAGATGCCTAGGTACACAGTACACTGCAGTTAATTGCCGATCTTCCGTAGATTGAAGGATCAAACAGCGTGGCAAAGATAAGATAGTCCATACTGCCAGGGCCGCTTACCCCCCCTCCTAAAATTGGTGTCAGTTCTTGGCGCGATATCGAATCAAATTCGCGAAATTCTACAAAAACATACCTGCACCACTGACCATTACGACGGCTGATCCCTTGGATTCGTTGAAGTTGTAGCTGCGAGGTTCATGTAGAATGGCCGGTGCGTCATGATCGAGCGGATCGTTGACGCGGATGTTGACATGTCTCGCGATCGAGGGTTTGATGGCCCTTTTCTCGACTTTTGGGGGGTGAACAGGACCAAGGGTAGCGAGAGCATGTGGCCGAACTTCAGCCATGGCTTTGTTAGAAAGTCCTAGGTGTCGTCGTAGATTCGGTAGTAAAGAATGCAAATGATATTGAAAGTGGGACCTCATGCAGCAAAACATACTTTTATCTTATCTACCTATGAGGCAAACAAAGACCGTATCATTTATGTAAGAATTGCTCTGCTGCTAATATTGGGGCGATTTTGATCTCAGAATGATGGACATGACGCAAGAACTATATAAGCAGCTTACCAGGAGGCAACAGACACTGGTGGCAAGTTATAGGCTTATAGCACGCCGTGGCCGCGCATTACCAATTTTGGATAGTCAGTATTTGACCAAATCTACATGTCTAGGCCAAGCACATGGCTGCAAATTGAATTCTAGGCTGGTCAGGAAGAGCGGGAGAAGAGGGACTTCGGTCCATTAGTTTGATTTGACTAGAAGAATGAAGTTGAGCCTGCCTTTCATTGTAGTAGTACAGGCGTAATCCTTTACTCGAAAATTATATCCCAAAGAACCTTCAACTCCTGGTGTGACCGCCTCCAGTAATGCGGTCACATATAGCAAGACATACATACATGAAGAAGGGGAAAAAGCTCAAGCGGCATAAAAAAAGCCCTTGTTACATGATTCCAAATTGCGCCGAAAAGTCCGGGTATCTCTTCCAAATTCCAAAAGTGCCGCTCCTAAAAGCCCTCGTCTCGCGATTTTGTCCGTTTCCTGAGACTGTTGGACGGGCTGAGACATCGGTGAGAGGAAAAAGCTCAAAATCGGCATAAAAAACCCCTCGTCTCTTGAAATTGCACCAATCTATAGGGTATATAGTCGTAATAGCGTAGTTGTCGTGCCGTATATATTCCGAGTCGTGAATTCATAAAGCAGGTCGAGTGGTCATTCAGGCATATTCTTGACTGGCGTCACCAAGCATATAGCTCTGCATTTGCAATGGTGAAGACCGAGACAGTTAGGTGACAATAATGGTACACCGCTGGCAGGTTGATGATTGTTGCGAAGCGAAGAAGTGGTTCGTTCAATGAAAGTGGTAGCGATCTGCAGGCAGGCTGTATTGCTCAACGCTCAGCTGGTCTTATTGCGCTTCCAACTGCGGCAATGACGATTGAATGCTCTGCGGATAATTTCGAATGGCTTTGGAAGCGGACTGTTGTAGAAAGGGTCCTTTCTGAAGTCTTCTTCGGTGAACTTCTAATAGATCGATCAGTAAATTTGAATTTGATACTAATAAGCACCCAGGTGACTTACCAAGCCTGGGAAACGAACGAAATTGCCATAGTCGTTCATCATGTTGGTGCCCTCCTCGTACTCGTAGGTTCGTCCTTCCTTGTCTGTAGTTCCAGGAGGATAGAATGCGACTCCATCCAACGGGCGATGGCTGTTGAGACAATCGGCGACCTTGTCCTCTGGGGTCGCCTTGAGAGCCTCCTTGGTGGAGTCTTCGAGAGCTGCAATCGGGCTAGTTTTGGCATCATGATTTCTTTCCGCATAGACGGCGTCATATGGGCTCTCATGGTGGTAATGGAAGACACCTGCATTGTCCAGGCGATCAATGACATCTGGAGTGACAAGAAGCGAACCGCGTCGGTATCTGGTGCGATGGCGGCTGCCTTGAGCGCTTTGCTGAGCGTACGTAGGGTGATATGTGTTCCGTTTTCTCCTTGGCTCTATTGGCTGGTGCTCAAGTTGACCAGACCAGTAGATAGAAGGCACAGACGGCGAGCGTTCTAAACCGAGGGTGTTGAGAGTCGAAGTAGATGAAGAGGGAGAAGGTGTAGGAGAAGGAGAGATGTAGCGATGGTAGGGGTTGTTGCTCCCCAACTCCATGGCCATATCGACGTTTACAGGATAATGATTAGGCTGATTCCAAGAAGAAGGATACGAAGCCATATACATGGAGTCGCCGGAAGACATCATGGCTGCTCGGCTTTGAGGAGATGATGGAGGAGTGCTCAGGGAAAAGAAATTCCTCTGGCTATTAATCTCTGAGATCCCCTCCCTTGGACAGAGACGCAGGTGTCTAATAGTAACTCTGCGCTATTGAATGCAAGCTTACCGATACTTTCTGATGATGTGGGGCTGACTGTCCGATTTGGGGTCTGAAAATGTGATGAAGCGAAATAGCGGTGTTTCTAATGAAAGAAAAGATGATTGTCGCCGATTATAAGCTCAAAAGATGAGGCACAAGAAGCAAGTTCGAGGAAGGAATCCGAGAAGGAGCCATATCACTCAGAAACAGTAGAGAAAGGTCTGTCTACAAAGTGTACGACCAAAGAGTGACGTGACTGACTTGCGTATACATAGGTTATACCCAAGGGTCCTGGGGCTTATCGATAAGTGGCCCACCCCTCCCTCTTGAGCTTAGTGATCAGAATTCATACCTTATTTGGCTTAGTGCATGGGTCTTGCCGAATGACTAGACCCATTCGGTTACATCGGCCACGGGACTCGATGATGAAACTGATGGATCAAGCACCAGAACCCGTGGAAAACTCGCCTCAAACGGCTTCCGACGATCCCGTCGATCCATGGATTTTGAAGGAAATTACGTTTGAGTGCCTGAATATGACTCAATGATCTCCTGTCGAAGATCGTCAGAATCTCACAGAACAAGCCCTGTGACGTTGTTTGGTCAGCATGAGAACCTGTCAGGTTTGTTCAGTATGTTCTTCCTATTTAGCTAAACACAAATTATCGAAGCAGTCCATTGCTAACTAAGAGTAATATCTCATGGGCTTCCTTTACATTAATGTTGCAAAGGTTAAACTCATCATTAGTCCAAGCGTGGCGTCAACCGTTAAGACTTAGGAGCGCACTACCAACTACTAAGGCCCATTGTAGTCTAGGCAAGTTGCAGATAAAACTAGGTCGAAGCACAGAAATGGAGCAGCCTCCCATCACTGTTGCAATTACCTGGGTTTTACTCCCTAGATGAAAGTTTGTCATCAGACCTACTTACAAGGTCGGTCTAGGCTTCAGAGACTCGCGGCCATAAGGGCGTCATGGATTGTGGAAAAATCTGCAATGCTTCAATGTCAGTGCTACCATAACGGCATTACCCCACACCTGTATGACACCGGCCTCCCTCGTTCTAGAACAACTTTCGTCGCATCAGGTCACTCAAATATGAATACTGATCAAGAAGTTTTATAGCCGCTTGCTCGCCGTATTTTCTGGGGACAACTGCAGGTCTAACTATAGTCTCGTAGCATGTATTCTCTTACTCCAAATGCGATGCCTCTTATATCTCCTCTCTATATGTAACCATTGGGCTCATGGTTCTTCCGCACTTCGACCTCCAGACGTCTGATCCATCGCCTTTAATAACAATCTACTCCGTAACTCAAATAAGCATAGAGACGATTGTGATAACAATTGACACTTTTGATGGGAGAATAAAGCTACCAGCCAACGAATAACTCTGCTAGTGACGGGAGCGTCCTAGGTTACCCGTAATAAACAGTAATACCATGACAGTAAGTTTATCGCTTATTTCTCTTCAACGCGCTTCTTGACTCAACCTATACCCATTGCCGCGATGGCTTTGGTGCAATACTCTGATACAGAGTCAGATACAGAAGAAAGTGAGGAGAAATCACCCAGACCAGCAAAGAAACCCCGTCACAACAGTTCGTCCGTCGATGATCAAGTATCATCTCTGCCCCCACTACCAAGTGCATTTCGTGATCTGTATGCCTCGAGCACTCGCGTGAGTGTACGAGACGACCCGAGCCTTCATGGAGGCCGTAAGCGTGTCATTCCCCATGTTGAAGGGAACTGGCCCACCCATATATACCTAGAGTGTGAGTTTCATGCCTAGAATTTATGAATAGGGACTGAAGTCGACAGGGTATCCGTCGAAAGCAGAACTCGCTGTCTTGGATGGTATATTATCACAGGTCGAAGTCAAGTTGGGAGGTTATGCAGGAGAGATCCATAGCTTATTAAGAAGCGATCTGGGTGTCCAACTCCCGCTTCATATCAGTCTCTCTAGACCAGTGGTTCTTCGCACTGAACAGAGACAGCCTTTCATGGATATGTTTCAAACGGCTCTTCAAGAGTCTACAGTCCCAGTGTGAGTATTTCACGCTTCTCTCGTGGACTGTCAGGTTGCTAACGGACCGCCCAGATTCTCTGTCAGCCCTTACAGCCTCGACTGGGTCTCTAATTACGAAAGGACGCGGTGGTTCCTCGTCCTACGGCTAACAAAGCCCGCTAAGGATAACTTGAACCGTCTCCTCGGCCTGTCAAATCGCTCCTTAGCTCACTTTGGCCAACCACCGCTGTATGCGGCTAGCTCGGCTGGCCCAGTTCACAGACATGGACGACATGAAAGTGTCAAACCAGATACACAGCCCGAAGACTTTTCTCCCTGTTTCCATATCTCCCTCGCCTGGACATTGACAGAACCAACGCCGGAGCAGAAAAAGAAAATTGAGGCTATAGATCTTCGCCGCTTGCAAAGTCTGAGCATTCACTTTGACTGTGTGAAGGTCAAAATTGGGAACAATATCTCGAGCATACCCCTTTTGACTGTATGAATTTTTCCTGAGATATAACCGAAGCGTAAATTGGTGAGAACCGAATGATATTTGCTTAGCCCCATTTCTAGGGACTGTATTACGGCTCCTCAATTAGTATTCCATTGGTCTTTCAAGATTATTCTACTTTGCGAGCCCTGAGCTGCATATAGTGGTCCTAAATGCACCTAAGCTAGGTGCCTGCTGAGCAAAAAGCTACGGGCACCAAGACTGCTGCCTTTCTCGTGTTAGCAGTGAGCAGTACTGCGCCGAGGTCGCGCGACCTGTGTCCCAAGATGAGCTTCTCCACCAACCCCTACCCCCTTTTTCATATTTCGCCGAGGCTATGACGCTGGCCTCTCCTAAAGAGCTGCTAGAGAGGTACACGGACTTGGAACTGGCTCATCACATTGTATCCTCGCCGCCGTGCGCGTTTCCCTCGCGGGTATACAACCTCTTCTCGACTTTCATAGCCAAGCGTTTTGAGGATGCTTTGAAGGCTACCGAAGTCGCCATCCAGCTTGGGATCCGCTGTCCTTCCGTACGAAATATAATCAAGAACCGAGGGAATGCTTATATTATTATGGATCGGGTCGAGGGAACTACATTGGACGTGGCCTGGAAGGAACTGGGCTGGTTCATGACAGTTAGCCTTGGTCTACAGCTTCGCCGCTTCGTGAAACTCTCAGATCTATCACCTCACCAACTGCCGGATCGCTCGTGACAGGCGAATGTAGGTCTTTCTAGCTAGAAGATCGCTACAGTCTTCCGGCGAATTCTGGCTCAGCCGAATTTGCCCACTTCTTCCGATTCTGGGCGAGCTTTACGTCTATGCGGCGAGCGATGCAAGCATCAAAGCAAAGCTCAAGTACCAGACTCATCAGATTTCACTGATGGAGTGCCAATGACTATCGAGCCATTCGTCTTGACTCATCATGACCTTGCGCCACGCAACATTATAGTGTCTCCTTCTGGTCAGCTTTGGCTCCTTGACTGGGATTTGGCTGGCTTTTATCCTGTTTCCTTCGAGTACGCAGCCATGTACAATTTCAACGTCCCTCAAGACTGGGGTTTGATGGCCCGTTTACGGTGGCATCTATTTGCGTGGATCGCGGCTGGGTATCATGAGGCTGACGCTCGCCTGCTACGAATTATGCGTTCTAAATTCACACGATTCGCCAACGGAAGGAGATTCGAACTCTTGGAAAAAAGTGGTCCCTTAAGATACCGTGTACACTGATTTGTGAACTCCGCGCAGTTTAATTATGTTCTCAATGATCCTAGATACCTTACCTAGGTAAGGCACTAGGCTGTGTACTGCGCAATACGATACCGTATTATACTAAGACTGCTGGGCCCGAGCCGCGCTAACGCGTCACCCTCACTTATCCTCCTTTCACACTCAAAACACTCGACTTCTGAAAATCAAGAGGTCTGCTTGTGGCGCATTCCCCCATCCATAATGTCGAGTCTGCAGATACCATCCGTCACAATAGTGAGTTTGCCCTAAGCTGATGATATGCATACGAGAGCTAATAACTTCCCTAATCCCAGGAAGATTTGCAGACCTTTCAAGCGAAACATTTTCCCAGTAGCCAGCAAGTCACGTCGCTTGACTACACCTATAGCGAGACTGTAGATGAAGATATTGATGATGATGACGGCCTTGGCTACTACCCAGATGGCGTGAAGCGTACTCTCACGGACGAGCAGATCCGCATTTTCAGGCATAGTGAAATCCACTCATTACTTCGCCAGAAGCAACTACGAGAAGAGGAGCTGGCTGAGGAGGCCCGCGAATTAACGCCTGTGAGACAAGTTGCTGGGGATGCTGTTGAAGGGCAAGACGACACGCTCTCTAAAATTCCGGATGGTCAACCGGAGAAGATACCTGAGGCGAAAGAGGGCACTGGCTTGGAGCCAAATGAGGCACAGGATTTGTTGAAAAGGAAGCGGTCGAATGGGGCAGGCTTACGAGAAAGACTCGATTATGATGACAGTGCTACAGTGCAGCGGGAAGCACATGTGCGTGGTTCGAACTTTGCTGGACGCAGAATCATATCCTACGAGGATTGACAACGTTTTGCGTCGACAAACAGCCATATGACATTCTGCAACGGCTGGCTTTCGGCCTTGTATCCCTCATGCCAGATTTTCTTCGTCGTCACCGTTCTGACAATAGAATTGGAGACTGGCACTCAATGCCTCGTGAGTGCCCCTTTTTGTGCATACTCGCTTTCTTTTCCGTGATGAAATTTATGTATCAGTCATCCTTAGTCGGACTGTCATACCATCTTCGGGTGTGTAAGACTCTGACGACTTTAATCTTCTCTCTGACATTACTATTCCGCATCAAGTTCTATTTTTTGTCGTTGTTCAAGCCATCACACTAATTCTCGAAGTCATTTAGAATTTGCCGATCGTTTGGGGAGCGAAAAGGGAATATCGGCAAGCAATTTCTTCCTCGAATCTACTCGATGAGTGGGATCGTTTTGGAAAGCTACAAAGAGCCTGCAATGATCCTGACCGTTCAGCCGACAGGCAGCTATACAGGAGTACCTGGGCAACCACTGAGTTAGCGGTCAACGCTGTTAACGAGTAGACGTCGCAGGCACACCGCGGCTGTGCAAAACGCGATAATTGGCTAGACCTGAATCGCAGCCATTTCATCTCTGAATGTGGTTGGACCCGACGCCACACGGGTCCCCCGTCTGAGGTTTGCGTAGGGCCGGCGCGGCTCGATATACATTTTATGGACCTGATGTTTGACACACAGTCCGGTGAATTGTAGTATCAGATGAGTGGCGGTATGGGCGATCTGTGAGTATTCAGTCTCTTGCGGTCGTGGGCTGTATTGGAAGGTTGGATGATGGTGATATATGTAACAGCCGATAGCACTAGAAACACTGCTGAACTTGCCGCGGTCTGAACCTGGCTCAGATACTGCCTACACACTGATCTAGTCATGATCAAGTTGGTGAGCATATATATATGTGTCAACGTAACTACTACGAAGGTGAAATGTCAACTGGGTCGTTTTATTTTTTTTTTTATTTTTTTTTTTTTGCACTTCCTCTCAGTATATTTTGACATCCGGGAGTAAATTCTCCCACTCATCTCACTATTACTGCCTCCTACCGGAAAGGGTGGCTGTTAGAATAAAGGGTACTGTGTAGATCAATGCAAAACGCCACTGTTGTGCTACATCGTTATTGTGCAGCATATTATGCCAGCTGCACGGTGTGTTTCTGAGTGATGTGTTGTTTCTTTAGCAACTATTGCTAAGGCCACTTTTGTCTTGTGCTTGTTGATCTGCGAGTCAGTCGAGAGATTGATCAGCCATGATTACTGACTGCGTTGCATCATGGACCCATTTTCCCTACCCCAACATGAAGATTGAATGTAAGATTTCCCAACCTCGATTCTAATCTCAATCCCTCGTTACCGTGAGGGCATCAGACTGTCCGTCCGGCTTGGTTGAGCGCTGTCTCGGGAGCAGAGCCCAGAATATCCCGATCCCGACCAACAAGCCAACCATAATCGGCTGCATAACCTGTACCCCTGTCTTTGAAGCAATTGCTCCAGTCATGAAGGGGAATGCAGCTGATCCAGCTTGTCCCAAGCTCGCTGTGAAGCCTATCGGCGTGAAAATCAGCACAAGGATCAAAAGCAGGGAGGAGGAACCAGATGACCTACCTAAAGCACCGATGTGAAGTTCCTGTGGGATGACTTTCGTCAGGACGTATAGTCCGACAGGGTAGAATGGGCCGATGAAAAAGCCTATTGATCATGTCAGCCGCCGTCTTGGGAGACGATTGCAAGCAGTCGAGTTCAAAGAGCTACCCACCCAGAAAACAAACGGTGACTGCATTGGCGATGATGTTCGGTATCAGCCAGAACATGACCTGCAGCGCTATGGCGAGAGCGATATAGAAAAACACCATCCGACGCTCACCGAGCTTGTGCGTGATGTCTGCGAGGAGGACCCGTCCGAGGGTGAACCCGGACCAGAACCCAGAGGCCACATAGCCTACTTTCTTGGGGTCTCCGTGTCTGACGGAGACGAGGAATTGGACCAGCCAGCCTGGGTGCTCCGATATTAGCTCTTCTGCAAGCAGACCGCGATGGCAAATTTCCTACATACCTCCCGAAGCTACTTCAGCACCGACATATAGGAAGAAGAAGCCGTTGAAGATCCAGACGACTTTATTGGTTAGTGTGGCCTTCATTTCGGCATTGGCCGTGTCTTTGGCATTGGAGACGTTTGGCTTAAATAGACCCCTCCGGAACGTCCAAGCCAGGAGGACAATGTTAAGTACTCCCAGGACAAACGTCGCGAGATAGTAATAGTGCCAGTACGGTGTTCGAGAGGCGATAGTATTCGCGATCAGCGGCGCGATAATCGTGCCGACTCCGTAAACAGCATGGAGAATGCCGAGCCATCGATGCGCGTGCTTGACCGTGACCGTGAAAATATTCGCTTGTGCGTCTTGGAAAGCAACACCCATGCCGGTGAAGAAGAAGGCAGTCATGAAAAGAGGATATGGAGGTTTCCAGCACATGAGCAAGTACCCGAAGCACTGGATCGTGGCTCCGACAACCAGGGTCCCGCCGCTTCCCAGCCTCGAACAGACGTGAATGTTGGCGAAAGATGCCACTAGCCATCCGGCGAAATTGATCAGATAGACCATGGACACTTTCAGCAAGCCAATATCATATGCGGGCTGAAGATATGGAATGAGCACACCGGTGGCAGCGTCTGAACATATTGATCAGTTTGGGTCCTTCTCACACCCCAGCCGTGAGCAAATGACATACCGTTCAAACCGGCCATCATCACCGCATAATTGGTGCTGATCAGTCTGCCGACGACCTGGCTCGCATCTTTCTGAGTGAAGAAAGACGAGTCCTTCGAGGACGAGTTTTCCACGTCCTCTACGCTGCTGTCATTCTGGTTCCCCGTGTTCATGGTCTACTGAAGGTTCTAGCCTGCAATGGATTCGCGAGAGGGTTACCGGCCATTGCTGGCAGTGCTGACGATTAAATATGCATGATCACTCGGTATCGCTCCTCGTGCCCCTCTCACCTGAGTCATTGTGGTCACTATTACTGTTAGTTAGGTTATCGCGGCTACATCGCGTAAGCGAGTTCAGCAGGTCGGACATGTGGCCGGCGCTCCACGTACCGATTTTTGGAAGCAGTGCAGGTTGCCCGAACTCTGCATAGAAATTATGCCGCATCACGAAGAGTTCTTTTTTCAATTTCTCTTCAAATGATTGTGTGGACATGCTCTTCATTGACTAAAAAACTGCCGCTGCCTGTCACAGGGGTGTATGGAGGCAAGATGACAAGTGACAACCCCGCAAATTGATGTGTGGGGGTCACGCACCAGCCAAGTGTGCATTGGCAGTCGATGCATCAAATCTGACATTCCACTTCGGCAAAAGCAAGAAGCAGAGGGAGTCATTACTGTCGCATGCTCACTTTTGTGGAGACGTAAGCACTTGAAAGCAGCTGGATAATTCTTGATTCTGATATTGGTTGATTAACATCCTTACTGCGTCTGACGACGGAAACATAGACAAGTATTGACTGTACGGTCAGTTTGCAACTGTTTTGGGGTTGTCTCTCTTTGACAAGGCGTGTTCAGAATATAATGGCTCTAGATGGTGCTTCGTGAGCAGTAAAAGATGATGCCAGACTACTCTATATCGGCATCGCTGGACCAAGGACGTCGCGAAATATTAAGCAACTCGTAAATGGAATTTAGGTCTGTCAGTGTCGTCGATTTGTGAGTCTCAGCATGCAAATGCTCCAGAGCCAATGATTCGAGAATAAGAGATGATCAAGATCAAGATTCTGAGTCAGTGTGAGGCCACGTTGGCAGAGAAAACTGCAGTCCCTCTGAAAGAAGTTGAGGTGCTTCGTCTGCCACCAGTTTCCACAAGAGACCGAGGACTGGATTTGTCAATGTTCAGTTTTAAGAATGAAAGGGGCCAACATCTTGCTTGGTTAAGTTTCTCAAAGGCCGACCTCGTTCACAAGTATCCGGTCATATCGATATCCCTATGTATCAGGCACAGCAGTAGGTGTGCAAATCCCAACTTGATCGAGATAGTCCAGCCGAACGCAGATGATCATCGTCAAAACGTAAAGAGCCGTGGTCAACCGAACCCGAGCTGTCCAGATTCTCGTCCGAGGCTTGTCTCGCCCACCTCCTATGCGAAATAACGGTTGTTCGCCGAATAGACGGCACTCTCCGAACTACCTCGTCGAGGATAGTCCGGCAAAACTCCTATCTTCCCCACTCGAGAATCTGGGTCAATATGCCGTAACTGAGGGAGAATCTCCACACCCATGCTTCGAGATGCTGACGGCAATAATCTTACACGGTTCGGCCAGGCGGGGGCCGATATCTAATGAGTAATGACCATTACAATATCCACTCGAAATGCTCCTGCGCGGTCACCACAGAGTGGATTGACTCCATTCTCCCCAAGTTCCCCCCTCGCACTATCAGAAAGTGGAAGCAGTGGGACCATCGAAGTCGGGAAATGATACCTGGGCTCTGGACACCGGACAAGACTGGGGTTCTGTCCGGGGTCCGGGGTGATATCCGCATTTAGACACGGGGTTAGGGGTAAGCATGTCGCTTCCGACCAGAATATCCGGCTGTAGCCATAATTTTGATCGAAGCAATGCATGATTATGCGGTAGTTCGTAGCCGAAATGCTGGGAATCGTGTACACCGCCCGATTTGACAGGCCGATTCTACTTGTCGAGTTCGGTATTCGAGCATTGTGACTTCAGAGCAATTAAGTCCGTTTGAAGCCGCCCGGCTGTACCCGTACTTTGTCTCCATAGTGGATAGCTCCTCATCATAAGCAGCACAGTCGTACTCGTATGTGCGTTTGACCCCGTGTTTCAAAGCCCGGTTTCTTCGGCTCGGGGATGACGATTGTCGACTTTGGCTTGATAAACAGCTCCATGTAACCCTACAGGTAAAGCCTCTCATTGGCTCAATTAACTGACTTCTTCTTGGTGGAAGAAGTACGCAGTAGACAGTGGAGTTTTCCGACACAGAAAATACCTTAAGAGGAAAGTCTCACTGGAAATTGAAAGTACTGGGGCAGAGGCTAGATTAGAGCGTCCGCTCAAACAGCCTGTGGTTAGGTTTGAATTACGAGATCATCCCTCTAGACTCGGACCATCCGACTGCACTAGTGCAGTAGCTATGTCAGTAGTAAGCCCAACGAGTAATCTGTACGAAGTAGAGAAATACGGAGTAGATGGAATGATAAGGTAGGCTTGATAGCAGGTAAGGTACGTACTCCGTAGGTAAGGGAAGATATGAATGACGAGGGATAATGGATGACTAAGGCATCCATAACCTAAATCTGCTAGCGCTACGGCAGATCTGCATTGGGTGGCATAAATCCAAGGGACCATTAATTCATTCATTCTGCAGGAATAACGCTGTTCTGGCAGATCCCAACTCATTATTGATGCTAATTACTCGGATGTTGAGCATTATAACACAGAGGCAGACTTTAGTAATTATACTTCGATCTAGGAAGAATTCGACTGAACAGTAGTGAGTAGTGACTAAGGCTTCGGTGTGTCGGTCTGTCGGAAGAGGAAGCGTCACCGGGAAAAGGCTTAAGTAATCTAGATCCCTGGGAACAATTTCCTGGATCCGATCGGCGATGGCTGCAGTGAGACTAAGACCCTGATAGAGACAGACAAGATGCGGCCAGTTTATTCGACTGCTGATTCTTCTAGTGTCATTCTTATTTCCAAGCTAGACGCTATCTCTCAGTAGCCCATGTCTGACTTCATCATTTCTCTTCCCTCTTTTCCCAGTGTGCAAACCTCTCGCGAATCCCCATCACCTACCTCTTAAGCTGGCATTCTGCAAAAGTCCAACAGCAGACCGACATCGGATAGCCTCGTGTTTTACATTTCTTCTTCCCCAGGTCCACAGCGGATCTTTTTTTGCGGTCTTTCGGGATGGACACCGCCGTTGCGAACAGTTTTTGTTACGTGCGAAATGGATGATTCGTTGTGCCGGCCCACTGCAACCACGCGATCATCGCCGGTGGCGGGCAAGGCTCAAGCATTATGGAATGGGACATGGAAATCTGCGGTTCCACTCCCGTCGAACGGTCCGAGTTAGAGTCAAGAGTCAGAATCTCAGTCAGTCTCGCCAACAGGGGCAAGATGAAGGGGAAAAAAAGAAAAAAAATAACATCCGAGGCGAATCGAGATCTACGTCGTGTTTTTACCTCTTTAACTTCCTAGCTCCTACTTTCTTTTCCTGGTCGAAACTTCCTCTCAACAGGACTGTTTCTCTACAATCGCTCTTTAACTTGAATCATTGGAGCATTGCGGCATTTCTATTCTTTTGTATTATACGCAAAGCTTGATATTTTGTTGTTTCGCTCGAGGGAGAAGGTGCTAGACCAGGGAAATCAGCCATCATGATTCAGAGCGTCGATGTTCCTCCTGTATCCGACCCCGAGAATCCACAAGAGAAGGGCATTGCTAGCCGGGATGCATCTCTGGCCGAAGACGAGAAGAAGTATGACGCCACACCTGCCTACAGGCAGGATGCTTTTGGCGATGAGTCGAATGCGGAGGTCAAATATAAAGTCATGAAGTGGTGGTACGTTTTTGATATTCAGTCCCCGCGATTGTTAGGATAACCACCATCTGACATTATCTCCCATCACAGGCAATGTGGTCTGCTCATGGTTGCCGAAACTGTCTCGCTCGGTGTTCTGTCGCTGCCTGCTGCTGTCGCTGGCCTGGGCCTGGTTCCGTATGTTAACCACTTTTGAGCTTCCCATTCGATCGGCTGCTGATTTTTTGCCCTAGTTCTGTCATTCTTCTGGTCAGTCTCGGCATCGTCTCAACCTACACCGGATACGTTCTTGGGCAGTTCAAACTCAAGGTACCGTGGGTTGCTAACATGGGCGATGCCGGCGAGGTGGTCTTTGGCAGTTGGGGCCGTGAGATTCTTGGAGCAGCCCAGGTGCTATTCCTGGTCTTCGTCATGGCTAGTCATCTCCTCACCTTTGTCATTGCCATGAACACGATCACGGGTCACGGGACCTGTTCAATTGTGTTCGGTGTTGTGGGCATGGTTGTTTCGTTCATCCTGTCCTTGCCGCGGACGCTGGCGAAGATGTCCTGGCTCTCTCTAGTTTGTAAGATGACCTCCTGTCTGACGCCGAATCTGGTAGCTAACTTCCACCCTAGCTTTTACCAGCATTATTTCCGCGGTGATCATTTGTATGATCGGCGTAATTATAAAGCATCCGGGTGGAAAGGTCATGGCAACTGTCGACACGGACTTGGTCCATGGGTTCTCTGCCGTCACTAACATCGTCTTTGCTTTCTGTGAGTTCCTATTTCGGTAGAACTCGAAATTCAACCCGACTAACTGGCTCGCAGCCGGGCACGCAGCCTATTTCGGTCTCATGGCCGAATTGAAAGATCCTCGCGACTTCCCCAAGGCCCTGATGCTGCTGCAGAGCGTCGATGTCTGCCTTTACATCATCGCCGCCATCGTCATCTACATCTACGGCGGTGCCTCAGTGCCTTCGCCAGCTCTCGGGTCAGCCTCAGTTTTAGTCTCCAAGGTTGCCTACGGCATCGCCTTGCCTACTGTACGTCCACACGCGCATTTGAAAACATGTCTCCAGTACTAATGCTACCCAGATCATCATCGCCGGCGTCATTAACGGCCACGTTGCTTTTAAATACGTCTACATCCGCATCTTTCAGGGGACCTCAAGAATTCATCAAAGGGACTGGGTGGCCGTGAGCTCCTGGGTCGCCATCGCGCTCTCCCTCTGGATCGTCGCCTGGATCATCGCTGAAGCCATTCCGGTCTTCAGCAATCTGTTGAGCTTGATCGTAAGTCTCTTCCCGTTCTTTTTCTTCACCTCAATATCTGACTCCTTCATCTTCAGACTGCCCTCTTCGCCTCCTGGTTCACCTATGGCCTCAGCGGTATTTTCTGGCTCTACCTCAACAAGGGCAAGTACTTGTCCTCCCCGCGCAAGATGTTCCTGACAGTCGTCAATCTCTTCTGCGTGGTCTTTGCTGCCGTGCTCTGTGGTCTGGGCTTGTACGTCTCCGGAAAGGCGATACATGATAACCCCAGCAGTGCGAGCTTTTCGTGCGCCAATAATGCTTAATCTTTCATTTACGGCATTCTTGCATTGCATTGCATGGCGTTCTGGGTTTTTTGGCTGTTGTATATATGGGACAGTGGGCAGTGCATCGGCTGCCTTGTATATATCATATCGAATCTGCCGATGTCTTAGACATGAGATACCTCTTTGTTTATGTTATATTCGTTTGTTTTCCATTCGGATAGTCAGATTTGGGGTACTTGTACAGAATACATTTGCTCTCGCCCGTATGTATGCGGAGAATAGAAAGTTCAAAGATAATGTAATGTAACATTCGACACCAACATGCTTGCAGCGCTCAAGTAATAATGCTAAGTATGCTACATATGCGCCCATTGCCATTCGCCAGACTGGATATCCCGTAAACACCCTCCCAACCTAAACACCACCGGTTACCTGAAATACTGAAAGAACAATCGAAGAAGAAGCGATGACCAGTATAAATGAAGGATAGGGCATGTCAGCCGCGACTTTCCCTTCTCATCCGTCTCCGCTTCCTGCGGCAGGAGTCGATCGCCTCGGGCGTCAGGATATCCGCAGGCGGCTGGAACTCGCGCACCTCCATCTTGGGGATGGGGTGGCCGAACGCCAGGCGGACGCGGCCCTTGCGGTGCGGCGAGAGCGCGGCATCGCGCAGATGAGGCTTTGCGTAGAATGAGGTGAAGGGTTTATCGGGAGGGGGAGGGGTTGCTGGTTTTGCGACAGCGGGCAGTGCGGTGGAGGGCTTGTTGGCGGAGGATTTGCGGCGTCGGGGGGCCTCGGTCGACGGTTTGGGTCGTTTGCCGGCCGTCGCGGAGCGGGCTTCCTGCTGCAGTTGGTGCGCGGCCCAGGCGTCCACGTCGCTTGGGTCTGGGGGTTCGCCGTCGCTTTCGGCGTCGGAGGTGGCGGCGCCGTTGGGGGTTGGTCGTTCGGCGGTAGTATCTAGGATGCGATCGCTGAGTTTGCGCTTCTGGGAGGTAGTGCGGTCTCTGCTCGTGGGGGCGGTGGATGGTGATGTCTCGGCGTGGAGAGAGGGCTTGTCCTTATCGAGCTTCCGGCGTTTCTCTTCTTCCTTCCAGATTTGGAATTTCTCGATCAGACTTGCGATTTCTCTCATGAAATAGTCGCGTTTGGGTTCGTAGAGCTTCTTCTCGTGCTCGTGGATACCAGTTATACCCATCACACGGAGCCAGTCGTGACCTTTGAGCTCATCTAATAGTCGCTCCAGCTGCATCTTCTCATGCTGGGCGCGTTCGCGCTCGATGTTTCGGAGCTGTTTCTCCTGCCGCTCCATTCTCCGGTGGGCGCGGAAATAGTATCCTTCATTGAGAGGGTCCTCCTCCGTGACATCCCCGGGCGCGGCGTCTGACCTTGGCTCCGGCTCTGGCTCCGGCAAAGATATCTTTTCGCAGTCATGGAGCTGCAACAAAGGGTTTCCAAATGGGGACTCGGAGTCGGGAGTTGAGGATTGTATGGTGGTAAGAGGCTCAGTCAGGTCGTCAATCAACTTGATCGTGGTGTTCTCGGTCAGTAGCTCCACGGTCTTCGGAGGGTCTAAACTCAGAATTTGTTCATAGTTCCAGAAATACGATGCCAGTTCGCTCCGCAGCCGCGAATTACTGTCCTTGGAACGAAGCGACCGGCGCTGTTCTGGTGCCGCTGGACTGGGATGGTCGGGTTCCTCCTTAGGCTGCGATTGCGTTTCCGTCTGAGGATTCGCCGAGTTGGGTTTTCGCCGACTGCTCGTCTGTCCAGGGGTCTTCTGCGCATCCGCGTCTGAAGCGCCAGATTGCCGCGGGCGAGAACGGCGTGTAGAACGCGTGGTAGAAGTTGGAGTGGACGTAGTGGGTGTTTTGCGAGGCTGCGAATTGGCCCCGGTAGGGACAGGAGAGATGATATCTAAGGGATCCGGCGATTCGCGGCCACCACCACGCATATACAGCGCGGCAGAAGCCGAAAGCGGAGTGCGATGGTGATCATGGGATTGTCCCGTAGTGTGCGGGGTGCCGGGGGGCGGAACACGGACGGAGGAGGGCGACGAGGAGGATGCGCTGTCGCTGGCAGTGGAGGGAGCAGGTGGCCGGCGCGTAGATGAGCGCGGCGGCGGAGGGAGAGGTGAGTGGGCGGCCTGTCGCACGATCTGAGGGGTTTTGGATGACGGAGGAACACGACGACCGGAGTTTTCAATAGTAGTATCAAGTAAGTCGGGAGAGCTCTTGCGACGGCGGGACGAAGGTGGCTGTCGATGTTGTTGTCGCTGTTGCTGCTGAAGCCGAGGCCTCTTTGCAGGGGGAGGAGAAGACGGCAAAGTGTCGTGGTGGTTGTCCTGGTGGTCGTCATGATGACCAGAGGTATTGTCATCCCGTCGCACTGAGAAGCGCAGGGACGACCTCGATCGGACGGCCATGATGATCTGATTGCAGCAGCGGCAGATACTTCGTCATTCGATGAGATGGACTGGTCATGCAATAAGATGATGATGCTGATGGTGGACGGCGTGATTGGATATGGGATGCAACTGAAGAGGACAATATATATAGGGACATGCTGTAAGAATGTATGTGATGGTGTCTCAATTCATCCTATGTCGCTCAATTGATTGACTCTATTGCCATTGCATCTGGAGATGAAAGGTGAATCGAACCTATTCTTCTGCTTCGTCGCCCTGTCCTCGTCGTCTTCGCGCTCTTTTTTTTTTTTCGCGGTCGCCATTAATTACAGGGATGTGGTATGGATTAATACAGTATTTGTGGAATAGGAGCTCACATTGAGATGGGAAAGGGTGTATTATTGTGTCAGCAGAATACAGAACTTTCCTCATCCTCAATCACTATTGTCATCCCCAATGACTATATGGACTAGAGAACAATAAGGCATTGTATATTCGAATCAGCATTTCAGATGAGCGAAAATTAAGTGCCATTGTCAGTATGTGATACTCCACAAAAAAGGAACAAAGAAAAAAACTGTCGTTGATAGTAAAAAGACGCCTCCTAACGTGGTCATATCGAAATGCGGGGACACCTCTGGGGACACCTACAGAAAGATACACAATAAGTAGTCATGGCATTTTGAGCTTGACAAGAGACAACGCATTAAGAAACCAACCAAACCCTAACTGACAATCTCGCGGGCTGATAAAATGCATATGATAGAGTATTCGAGGTCAGTTTATATCAGATGATCATCCAACAGCAACACGCGGACTCTTCTCGCCTTCTTGCAGTTGCAAGTTACAATATCCCCCACCCCCACACAACGAGGGGAAGATGAGCGATTCATTCTCATCCTTGTAGAGTCAATCTCATGGATGACTCCGTAGGGCTTTCATCGGAGTTCTTGCCGACTAGAAAGATCGTTGTACTCCTAGTACGAGAGTATTCATCTACCGGGATACAATTCCCTCCTCCCGCGGCTGCTGGTACTACTTCCGTTGGAGAATGGAGATATCCCCCACCTTCACAGGCTACAATGATGACCCCGGACCAAGGAGTACGTGGGGGTCACGGGCTCATTCCATAGCAGTTATCTAATGTTCTTTCGATTCCATACTACATTGAAAGGATGATCCAAAGATGTATCTCTTCCGTAGCAAATAGTAGTATTGCATCTTCTCCAAGTCCTCGTGGGTTACATACAGTCGAGCTGCCACATCAGTTTCGACGCATGGTCCAATGTCATCAGATGCAACTCCACCACCAATAATATCAATAAGAGTTACAATTGCTCTCTGATCTACACCAAAGTCTCGTCCACGTATTCTGGATTCCGACTCCAAGCAGGCCTCCATTCTGTGGGGTCCAGACGTGGGGGTTTTCCCAGTGTCCACTCTTTTCCACTTGCCGAAATGTCTGTAGACGGCCTTTGAACTTAATGCGATCAATCTTCATCATCGCATCAATTGGGGTCGGCACTGGAACCACATTCCCATTCCTTAATCATGGCAGGCGTCCCACCGTCTCTGCCCTCTTTGACAAACCCTTTCCTCCCTTTTTCTATTCTTCTCAATCCCGATAAATCCTCCAAATTGAGCTCCTCTACCTGGTAACTCCGTTCCATGCAGATCTACACTTGAGATCATTTTCACACGACCACCACAGAACACCACTGGTATACAACAACAGACAAAATGACCACAAACGGAACAACAACAAGACGGCCCCTCGTCCCCGGCATCTACGTGCCAACTGTCGCCTTCTTCAAGGACGACGAGGAGGTCGATCTCCCCACCGTCGAGAAACACGCCGCCTACCTCGCCAACGCCGGTGTCACCGGCCTCGTCGTCCAAGGCAGCAACGGCGAAGCCGTGCATCTCGACCGTGAGGAACGCAAACTCATTACGGCCGCGACCCGCCGCGCCCTCGATGCCGCGGGAGCCACGTCCATGCCCCTCATCGTCGGCTGCGGCGCATCTTCCACCCGCGAAACCATCCAGTTCTGCAAGGACGCCGCCGACGCCGGAGGAGACTACGTCCTTGTCCTGCCGCCCTGCTACTACAAGTCTCTCGTGAACAACGCCGCCCTCCTCGACTACTTCCGCGACGTCGCGTCCGCCTCCCCGATCCCCGTCCTCATCTACAACTTCCCCGGTGCCTCCTCCGGCCTCGACCTCACCTCCGACGACATCCTGACCCTCGCTAAACATCCCAACATCGTCGGCGTCAAGCTCACCTGCGGCAACACGGGCAAACTCGCCCGCGTCGCCGCCCAGGCCAAACCCGACTTCCTGACCTTCGGCGGCTCCGCCGACTTCACCCTCCAGACCCTCATTGCCGGCGGCGCGGGCATCATCGGCGGCGTGGCGAATCTGATTCCGCGCTCGTGCGTGCGCCTCATGGAGCTCTACCAGAGCGGGAAGATCGCGGAGGCGCAGGCGCTGCAGGCGGTCGTCGCGCGCGCGGACTGGCTGGCGATCAAGGGTGGGTTTGTCGCGGTCAAGAGCGCGCTGCAGTCGTATCGGGGATACGGCGCGCTGCCGCGGCGGCCGTGTGTGGCGCCTTCGGCGGAGGAGGCGTCTGCATTGA